AGTAACAGTGTTCCATGTAGTCATGCCAGCCACATGATCTTGGAGGCGTCTATGGACAACGCCGGCTCTTCGGCTTAGAAATGGAGATGCTCAATGCTATGCTGATCAAAAAGTTGATGGTTCGAATACAGTGAGCTCTCACTGTTAGCCCCAGCTTCTGCCAACCTAGCAGTTTAAAAACATGCAAATGCGAGTGGATCAATAGTTACCGTCTTGGTGGGAAAGTAATGGCGCTCCATGTAGTCATGCCAGCCACATGACCTTGAAGGTGTCTACGGACAATGTCAGCTCTTTGTCTTAAAAATGGAGATGAGCACCAACCCCCAAAGTTGGACACGACTAGACTTAATGTCAGAGGGAAACCTTTAGCTTTACCTTAACTGCCATGTTCAATGCTATGCTGACTAAAAAGTTGGCAGTTCAAATCTGGGGGCGGGGTGAGCTCCCGTTGTTAGTCCCAGCTTCTGCCAACCTACCAGTTCTAAAACATGCAAATGTGAGTGGATCAATCTTGGCAGGAAAGTAACCATCTTGGCAGGAAAGTAACAGCGTTCCATGCAGTCATACCAGCCACATGACCTTGAAGGGGTCTATGGACAATGCCAGCTCTTCGTCTTAAAAATGGAGATGAGCACCAACCCCCAAAGTCGGACACGACTAGACTTAATGTCAGAGGGAAACCTTTAGCTTTACCTTAACTGCCATGCTCAATGCTATGCTGACTGAAAAGTTAGCAGTTTGAATCCAGGGAGTGGGGCGAGCTCCCGCTCTTAGTCCCAGCTTCTGCCAACTTTGTTTGAAAACATGCAGTCGTGGGATGTGTAGTTTTGCAAGATCTTTAGCCTTTTCTGCCCAAAAATGCTGGCACATGACCAAACTACAAATCCCAAGATTCGGTAGCATTGAACTATGGCAGCCTATAACTCTGGAGACCAAGATTTTAATCTGCACTCAGATGTGAAACCAGTTTGAACAAGTCACACTCTCTCAGCCTTAGAAGAAAGCAAAGGAAAAGCTGCTCTGGCAAAATATTGATAGGGTCACCATGAGACACAGAAACAACTTGGGAGGCACGCAACAAGAACATAATAGACAACTGTGGCAGAACTACACACATGTTTTCTGTCCCTGTGACCCTCAAAGGGTGCAAAAACTGCTAAACAATACTATTGATGAATACATGATGCGGAGACTCAAAGTTTTAACTTAATAACTTAATTATATTCTAATTATTGTAGTAAGAGAGGGGTTTTTTTTTATTGTATTGTGTTTTTTGGATGCCGTACACTGCCTTGAGTTGCGCACTGGGAAAAAGGCAGGATATTAAACAAACAAACAAATATAATGTCAAGTTATGAAGTAGCACATGTGTGCAACCAGCTTTCCCTCTCCAACTTCAATCCCTGCTTGCAAGGAAGCCTGCCTGCCTGGCTATAGCTGACATATCATTTAACTCACTTTTTTCTTGTGTCTTTAACAATTAATTGAAGCATTTCCCCAACATTTTCCACCACGGCTTTTGATGTCTCCTACCTCTGTGTATCAGTTGCACAGTCTTTGAATGTGCTAGTTTTCAGAACATAAAAGTGCTAATTTCGAACTGCAGTAGTCTTTAACAACACAAATGTGTCAGTCTTTAAAGTTTGTGGTGTCACAATTTTTTCTTCTTGTTTCCATATTTCACTGATCTCCCACTGAAGTCAGGGGGACTTCAAAATGCTTCACGGTGACTTAATGATGAGTGCTAACAAAGCTTGCAAGATGACTTTTTTGGGCTCCGGGAGTTGCTCACTGGTGGGAAGGTGATGGAAACATCATCTTCATTGTTCCCTGATTGGGAACAGTGGTTAGACAGCTATCGCTTGATGCTTGATGTGGTTGTGGGCTGTTAAGGTGGGCTTGTGAACTGTGCAGGTACAGCTGTACAAGAAGCTCCAATTTTGTTTGCTTTGCATTGAATGTTTGTTGTAGTCCTAAGTTTCAGGGACTCTGCAGATAGGTGGCTTCTTTTGGCTGCAATCATAGGGCAAGCCACCTGTCAATTATAGTTAGGTTCCCTGGTCCTACCCCCTTTTTGGGTTTTTGGAAGGAATAGGAGCCTTTTTGGCCAGTCCACACAGAGAAGCTTTCCATGCAGGACATAATACCAAGAGCTCCTGTAGAAAGCTTCGTCTTCTACGGCTTGGCCAGGGAAATATACAGCCTACAGCTTGGCCAAGATTATACAGCCCACAGCTTGGCCGAGGATCATACAGCCTTACAGCTCCTTTACTGAAGGACTTCAGCCAGCCATCACTGAAACCTGAATCCTTTTCCCCTGGAAGTCTACAAAGCTCTGCTTGGTAAGGGTCACTCGCGGAAGCCAGGCGCAGTTGGTACCGGGTGCAGGGGCTCTATGCCAACAGAGGCAAAGACAGACTGCCCAGATTAGAAGTTAAGGATTTCCCCATTCGTTACAGTTATGAAGATAATGCGTGTTCCCTGTGGACAAGATGGAAATAGCCAATAGACTGTTAAGAAAGCCTTGAAGTACCTGTTTGTTTTTCATTAATAAAGAACTTGTTGAATCTTTAAGCAATCTAAAGACTCTGTTTTAAGGAAATCCAAAGGCTTTTAATCTGAGGCAGCCCCGGCGTCCCGTTGGGCACTCAGAATTTATGTCCTGTCTACAGTCTTATGCACAGGCCCAGCGTGCGACAGCACGTGAACCTTGAAATCCTAGCATGCCTTGATGCAGCATCAATGGCTGGTGAGAGAAGACTGGAAATGCCATCTTCCTTGTGCCCCAGTCGGTAGCTGAAAATACCTCCTTGTCTTATATGACTACTGGATTTGAAGGTGGGCTTATGAAGACTGTGACAATCAGAAGCAGGATCACAGTAGACTGGGCGGTGGCGCAGCTTGCTGATAGCTAGCTGCATTAAATCACTACTGATTTGATTGTAGGTGAACTATAAATCCCAGCAACTACAACTCCCAAATGACAAAATCGATTTTTTTTTAGTGAAGGACATACATTGGGTAGTGTCTTGTGTCCAAATTTGGTGTCAATTCGTCCAGTGGTTTTTGAGTTCTGTTAATCCCACAAACAAACATTACATTTTTATTTATATAGATATTAATTCTTTGCATTTTAAAAAAACCTTGTAACCTTACTCTTTGGATAACCCTCGTAGATGACCTTTGGGGTCTCTTCCAACTCTGTGATCCTATCATTCTAAGATTGCAGTGGTTTGAATGTTGGATGATGCCTTGGATCTCCGCTCAGCCATTAAAGCCTTTGTGTGCTAGTATGGCTGTACCAGGAGCTCCAACTTCTTTTCCTCTCTGTTGAGTGTTTGCATGTATTCCAAAGTTCCATGCATTTTGCAATAAGGTGGCTTCCCTTGGTTTGCAATCATAGGGCCAATGACCCATCCATTATCATTATGTTCTTTAGTTCCGCCCCTTTTTCTGGGTTAAGGAGGGGAAACGGGGACCTCTAGTTCAGTTCACACAGAGAAGCCTTTCGTACAGGACGTGAATCAGTTCCACCTGTAGAAAGCTTTGTCTTTTACAGCTATGCTGGGGGGATCCAATCCCACAGCTCTACAGAGAACTACAGCATAGCCTTTGTTGGGGAATTTAGTTCCACAACTCTACAGCCAGCCTTCGCTGGGAAACAAAGGACTTCTTTCCTCTTGGAAATCTACACAGAGACTTTGGCCTGGTAAGGACCTCTCACAGCAGCCATAACGCAAATTGGAACCGGGTGTAGGGGCCCCATGCCAGCAAAGCCTAAATACAGATTGCCCTGGGAGGGGTTAAGGATTTCCATTATAGAAGGAAGAAATAGTTTATGAAGAAAGTTGCCTGTCCCTTGTGGACAAGATTTAAGCAAGCCACCAGTTGATTCAAAGCTTTGAAGTATTTGGGTTTTTTCGGGCTATATGGCCATAGTCTAGAGGCATTTTCTCCTGACTTTTCGCCTGCATCTATGGCAAGCATCCTCAGAGGTAGTGAGGTCTGTTGGAACTAGGAAAATAGGTTTATATATCTGTGGAATGACCAGGGTGGGACAAAGGACTCTTGTCTGCTGGAGCTAGGTGTGAATGTTTCAACTGACCACCTTGATTAGCATTTAATGGCTTGGAAGTGCCTGGGGAATCTTTTGTTGAGAGGTGATTTGATGTGCCTGATTGTTTACTCTCTGTTGTTTTGCTGTTGTAATTTTTGAGTTTTTTAATACTGGTAGCCAGATTTTGTTCATTTTCATGGTTTCTTCCTTTCTGTTGAAATTGTCCACATGCTTGCATTCACACCTAGCTCCAGCAGACAAGAGTCCTTTGTCCCACCCTGGTCATTCCACAGCTATATAAACCCTTTTTCCTAGTTCCAACAGACCTCACTACCTCTGAGGATGCTTGCCATAGATGCAGGCGAAACGTCAGGAGAAAATTCCTCTAGACCATGGCCATATAGCCCGAAAAAACCTACAACAACCCAGTGATTCCGGCCATGAAAGCCTTCGACAATAAAATATTATATACATTGATTTAAGCAACAATAAAAACTTCGTTGAACTTTCTAAGTCTTTAAAAGAAATCCGAAAAGCCTCTCAGCCGAGGCACCCCGGGCGTCCTGTTGGGCATTCAGAAAACACGTCCTGTCTACAGACTCTTTCACAGGCCCAGCGCGTGACAGCACACTTTGGCAAGTCACACTTTCTCAGCACCAGAGGGAGGCAAAGGCAAACCCACTCTGAAAACCCCATGACAGGCTTGCCTAAGAGTCACCAAAATCAGAAATGAGTCTATTATAAATCTTAAGGTAGTGGGGGAAATGGAGCAGTCCTCATATCCACAACCCTAAATATCAACAGATGGAGAAGGAAGTAGCACAGAATGCCGCATCTTCCAGAAAATTGTGTGCTTGTTTATCTGCCTCCTTGACTGTTTTATTGCAAGTCCCACTGATTTAATTTTAAACAGTTCCTCTTGTAATCTCCGGCTCGTACTCACCTGTAGCTCTGTTTGCAAATGGATTCGCCAGCATGAGAAAGAGACCCCAGAGCGAGCCGTTGAGAGTCATTTGAGAGGCCGCTGATGCAGCTCTCAAGCCCCCAAGTCCTGGAGCCCCTTAAAGAGAGGCTGCTCAATTATTGCATCTCTTGATGAGACCCATAAAGCCAGCCGGCTCTATTCTCCAACAGTTCTGTGGAGGGCCTTTCCGTCGCCTTGCCATCCGGGTCCAGCCCAGAAAAAGACAAATGGGAAGTCACAACAGGAAATTGAGGCAAGCCGGATTTTGACATCATTAATTCACTCTCTGCTGTGTTGTTATTATGTGGAAGAGGGGGGAAACGCAACGCCTTATGAGCTAATGAGCATCGATTTCATTTAATGCTCAGTGGAGTTTGTTTAATATGGCTTTTGGCAACAGGCACAATGCAGAGGAAGGTGTGTGGCAGTGCATAGGAATGTGTTGTTGAAGGCTTTCGTGGCCAGAATCACTGGGTTGCTGTGAGTTTTTCAGGCTGTATGGACATGTACCAGTAGCATTCTCTCCTGATGTTTCACCTGCATTGGTGGCTAATAGCGTCTTCAGAGGTCTGTTGGAACTGAGGCAAGTGGAGTGTATATATATCTGTGGAATGCCCAGGATGGGAGATTACCAGTATTTTGTCGAAGGCTTTCATGGCTGGAATCACTAGGTTCTTGTGGGTTTTTTCGGGCTATAGAGCCATGTTCTAGAGGCATTTCTCCTGACGTTTCGCCTGCATCTATGGCAAGCATCCTCAGAGGTAGTGATTATTATTATTATTCTCCTCTGCCAACTCCTCTGGTGTTTCGCAAAACTACAACTCCCAGGATTCCATAATCAGAAAACACAGAGAAGCCATTGAAATCCACAAGCATGTGGACAATTTCAACAGAAAGGAGGAAACCATGAATATGAACAAAATCTGGCTACCAGTATTAAAAAAACTCAAAAATTACAACAGCAAAAACAGAGAGGAAACAGGCCATCTAACACCTCTCAACAAAGGTCCTCCAGGCACCAGGCCAAATGCTAATCAAGGTGGTCAGTTGAAACATTCACACCTAGCTGCAGCAGACAAGAGTCCTTTGTCTCCACCCTGGTCATTCCACAGATATATAAACCCTTTTTCCTAGTTCCAACAGACCTCACTACCTCTGAGGATGCTTGCCATAGATGCAGGCGAAACGTCAGGAGAGAATGCCTCTAGACCATGGCCATATAGCCCGAAAAAAACTACAACAACCCAGTGATTCCGGCCATGAAAGCCTTCGACAATACAAACAACCAAGTGCCAGTCAACACCTCCCAAACAGAGGATGCCTCCAGGCAACGGAGGCCAAGCTACCTCTATGCAGATACCCTCACTGGTTGACTTTGCAGCTTCCTGGCTACTCGTGCAATTCAAGCTCGCTAATTGCAACATACACGCTTTCTTTAAACAGACAGGGTTTTTTTCTCCCACCCTGAATATTATTCCACAGATATATATTAGGCTTGGTTGATTTAAAAATAGTTCAAAACTCATTTCAGATGTAGGGAACGCTGGTGGCTTGATTCTAAAGTCAATTCCGATTTTCACAGAATTTTTTTTCAAAACTTTTCAAAACTTCAGAGACTTCCGAATCCTTTCGCTAATGGTTTGAAAGTGTTATTTCCTGTTTCATTGGGTGGTCTTTAATTTGAAAGTAGTTGTTTTACTCCAGAAGTGGGGAAAAGCAAGCCAGGAAATTCCTTCCTTCTCTGGTTTAAAACTGGCTTCTCTGGCTTGAGCCAAGGCCAGGAAATTCCTTCCTTCTCTGGTTTAAAACTGGCTTCTCTGGCTTGAGCCAAGGCCAGGAAATTCCTTCCTTCTCTGGTTTAAAACTGGCTTCTCTGGCTTGAGCCGAGGCCAGGAAATTCCTTCCTTCTCTGGTTTAAAACTGCTTCTCTGGCTTGAGCCGAGGCCAGGAAATTCCTTCCTTCTCTGGTTTAAAACTGTCTTCTCTGGCTTGAGCCGAGGCCAGGAAATTGCTTCCTTCTCTGGTTTAAAACTGGCTTCTCTGGCTTGAGCCGAGGCCAGGAAATTGCTTCCTTCTCTGGTTTAAAACTGGCTTCTCTGGCTTGAGCCGAGGCCAGGAAATTCCTTCCTTCTCTGGTTTAAAACTGGCTTCTCTGGCTTGAGCCAAGGCCAGGAAATTCCTTCCTTCTCTGGTTTAAAACTGGCTTCTCTGGCTTTAAAACTGGCTTCTCTGGCTTGAGCCGAGGCCAGGAAATTGCTTCCTTCTCTGGTTTAAAACTGGCTTCTCTGGCTTGAGCCAAGGCCAGGAAATTCCTTCTCTGGTTTAAAACTGGCTTCTCTGGCTTGAGCCGAGGCCAGGAAATTCCTTCCTTCTCTGGTTTAAAACTGGCTTCTCTGGCTTGAGCCAAGGCCAGGGACCAGAAGCAGGGGAAATTCCTTCCTTCTTTGGTTTAGAACTGGCTTCCCTGGCTTTAAAACTGGCTTCTCTGGCTTTAAAACTGGCTTCTCTGGCTTGAGCCGAGGCCAGGAAATTGCTTCCTTCTCTGGTTTAAAACTGGCTTCTCTGGCTTGATCCAAGGCCAGGGATCAGAAGCAGGGAAAAGCTGAATCATTTCTGACTCAGTTTCTGAGTTGTAACAAAAATGGCGGCAAAATCTTCGGAGGGGCAAAGGGACTTCTGGTTTTTAAAAAAGCTTCAATACCACTTCAAAAGGTAATTTTAACGAGATTATTTCAAGCAACTGGTTATCTGAGCAACTCTATCCATGCCTAATATATATGCACCCTACTTGTCTCACTGCCAACAGAACTTCTGAAGATGCAATTAGCCACAGATGCAGGCAAAACATTAAGAGAGAATGCTACCCTCTGTCAGCTCACTCTGTCAGCTCCAGCTCCCCATGCAGCGACATGAGAGAAGCCTCCCACAAGGATGGTAAAACTTCCAGATGTCCCTTGGGCAATGTCCTTGCAGATGGCCAATTCTCTCACACCAGAAGTGACTTGCAGTTTCTCAAGTCGCTCCTGACACACACACAAAAAGAGAGCAGGGCATGGCTGAAGACATTCACCTGCATTACCCAATAGAACCACAAGAGGGACCCCAAATTCTATTTTCCCTCTGGAGTCTGTTTTCTTTGACTATTAGCAAATGTTCTCTTTCTCAATATTGCTCCATCTCCAACCATTTGCATCCCTCTTTTTGAAGTGGATGCATGTGAGTCTACACTCTAGAACTAATGCAGTTTGGCACCACTTTAACTCCGATGGCTCCTATGCAGATTGGGAAGTTTGCACTTTATAGTTTTAAAACACTTGTTTACCTGTAGCAGATAATATGAGTAGTCTGGGTATTTTTATATATCTAAAGTGTGCTTGCGTGTGTCTTGTTTTGCACCTTCCTTGAATAAAAAATTATTTTAAATATCAAAGAGGACTATATGATAGTTTAGTATCATCAAAAAAGCTATAACTGTGCAACGCAGATGCACCTTAAGTCCAATTTAATTATTTCTGGATCATCCCGAAGACGGATATGGAAATGAAGGAGGCTTTCTTAGTCACCTGCAGAGAATTACTGGGATGCGTGATTTGTCAGAGGAAGCAGAAGATGCAAACAAAGAGAGCAATATAATACAAAGCCTCCTGTTTTTTTCTGCAGCTGGAGTGAGGATTGCTCAGAGCAAGGCATGGGCCAACTTGGGCCTCCCTCCAGATGTTTTGGACTCCCAACTCCCACCATTCCTAACAGCCTCAGGCCCTTTCCTGAAAGAACCTGAGTGTGCTGTCACACGCTGGGCCTATAGCAGTGGGCTTTTGAACAGGACGTGCTCTTTGTGCCCAGCGGGAAGCCGGGGTGCCTCGACTGAGAGGCCCTAAGGATTTTCCTATACAAAAGTCTTTAGAAGCTTGAAAGGTTTAACAAGGTCCTTTATTATTGCTTAAGTCTTCAACAAACAATCAAATACTTCTTAGATCTTCAACAAACTAAACAAATGCTTCTTAACTTGTCTACAAAGGATAGGCACCTTGCTTGGAGAACTATCCGGAGTTTTGGAGTGCGATGTCATCTGTACACTCATTTCCACCTACCACTAAGGAGGCTGTTCAGGTCATGAACCAGTGCTTGGCCGCTGTCTCGGACTGGATGAGGGACAACAGATTGAAACTAAATCCAGACAAGACAGAGGTACTCCTGGTCAGTCGTAAGACCGAACAGGGTACGGGGTTACAGCCTGTGCTGGACGGGGTCACACTCCCCCTAAAAGCTCAGGTACGCAGTCTGGGAGTTCTCCTGGATTCATCGCTGAGCCTGGAACCCCAGGTCTCAGCGGTGGTCAGGGGAGCATTCGCACAATTAAAACTTGTGCACCAGCTGCGTCCATACCTTGGGAGGGCTGACTTGGCCACGGTAGTACACGCTTTGGTTACATCCCGCTTAGACTACTGCAACGCTCTCTACGTGGGGTTGCCTTTGAAGACTGCCCGGAAGCTGCAGCAAGTCCAACGCGCGGCAGCCAGATTACTAACGGGGGCTGGATACAGGGAGCACACCACTCCGCTGTTATGCCAGCTCCACTGGCTGCCAATTAGCTTCCAAGCACAATTCAAAGTGCTGGTGTTGACCTATAAAGCCCTAAACGACTCCGGCCCTGTTTACCTCTCCGAACGTATTCTCCCCTACGAACCATCAAGATTATTAAGATCATCTGGAGAGGCCCTGCTCTCGGTCCCACCGGCCTCGCAAGCGCCTGGTGGGGACGAGGGACAGGGCCTTCTCGGTGGTGGCCCCGCGACTCTGGAACTCTCTCCCTCTGGAGGTCAGAACCGCCCCATCCATCTTAACATTTAGGAAACGGGTGAAGGCGTGGCTGTGGAGTCAGGCCTTCGACGAATGAGATAACACCATAGGACCCTGGATGGAAGTTGATGTAGACCCATCTTAATAGGACGACTGACCACTGTAGTGTTTACATATAGTGTTTTTAAAGTTGTTTTTGTAATCTGTGGTATATGATATTTTAATGAGTGTTTGTTTTTATGGCTGGAAACCGGGCTGAGTCCCTCAATGAGGTTGAGAAGCTCGGTATAGAAAACTGTGAAATAAATAAATAAATAAAATATTTCTTTCTTTAACAAGGAAAACCCTTTTTGACCTCGCCCGGGCAATCTGTTTTCTAAACTTTGCTGGTGTGGGCCCTACTCCCGGCTCCAAACTGCTTCTTGGGTCCTGAGTAGACCTACCAGCCAAGGCTTTGTAGATTTTC